ATTTTTATTTAGTTGAATTTATTTTTATTTATCTAAAGACTACATTGCATTTTATTTTTTAATGTACAAAACTTTTTTTCCATAGTTTTATTCAGAGACAAAAAGAAATGAGACAGTTTCAAATAAAATTGGTATGACAGTTTCAATAATTAACACATTGCACATTAACTGTCTTCCTAGTGGTTATTTGCTGTACAAGATGCAGACATGATATCCTATTTGCAAACACTATTAGAACAAATCCCTCTATTCATTGAAATAAGAGAATGTAATTATATATCTATCGTAACCATTTTGAATACACAGATACAAAATGGACATTCATTTATATATCCCCTTTTTTGTTTAGTTCCGTTATTTGAATATTATAGGTGTGTTAATTCAGCAAAATGTTCTAAAAGAGTCCAGTAGTCCATAATAGTATTGGGTCTTCTGCTTGACTGGCAATGTCAGAAATTGTTGACCTGAGTCCCCCACAGCTCAACATAACAGCATGGCTTTACTTCTTATACTTCATTTATGTACTTTTCTGCTGGATGGTTAAGAGCAAGATAAAGCAAGACCTATGCAACAAGAGTTGTAGCTTTTGAATCTGATAAGGTCAGTGAAATCCCCTCAGGATTTATCCTGAGATCCTATGCCTCGGATTGTCGATCCTTTGTCAGTGTCAGCCATGTGAATGAGTCATGGCCATTGCTTGGCCCATATACTCTCTGTGAAAGCCTGAGAGAACATTTTCTCTCCATGTGACTCTCCGTAGGCACACTGTACATCATCGATCACTTTCCTCTTTGGCCCCTTAATCTCCTTGATCAGAAAATTTGGGACACGACTGAGTTACATGATGTTACAATACAAGTTCTCATATGTCCTGAGTCTTAATTGACCTTGGAAGGCTAGGGCCAAAATGTTGACTTTCCTTGTGGCCCTCCTTTTTCTCTAATTTTGGTCTGCAAACTAAGATTGGGTTTTTAACCCTCCAGAAGACAAGCTTATTGTTATTACCATGCAACCTAGGCTGTTAAGATTAACCTCACTACCTGTCTGAATATCAAACATATTAGGCATAACATGGAACAGGTATTTTTCATCTATTCATATGTTGAACTTTAAGTCCCTAAGAATATGATGAAAAAACATTTAAAAAATTAAAATATATTTTAAAAATAGGCATAAAGAATTATATACTTCTTATGTTTACACGTAAGTCCAGAAATCTAACCATATACAACCTTGAAGCAGGACAGTCCCACTATATTCCTTTTCCTGTCTCCAGCCTTCATTCACCACCCCCTTCTTTTTGAACAATCATCTACCCAAGAGACAGCACAGCAGCAACTGGCATGTCATGACAAGCAGCCCGTGTTCAGAAGACCAGAATGACAGGCACTCCAAGCAGGAACATACTATTACAAATTGCCATCTTCAGTGCAGTTGCTTAGCTCACAGGTGTCTGTATATATAGTTAGCATGAGAATCATTCCAATTAATTGCAAGATTCAAAAATCCCTGAAGATTCTCAGGATCATTGCCTTACCCATCATCTACATATAACTATATGGCTTGCTCCTGTCATGTTTCCTAGCTCTTCTCCTTGCGCTCTTTTCATTGTCTAGTCCTCAAGTTCTTTTTCAACCATTCCTCAGGTGATGGGCATCTTGGTTGTTTCCAAGATTTGGCTATCACAAACTGTGCTACTATAAACATTAGTCCCCAAGTTCTTGCTTTCCTTTTAGTCGTATTATACCTTTCTATTTGTATTTCTTCTTTTGAGTTCTTATACTAGCGAGACTATACGATATTTACACATGTGTGTCTGGTTTATTTCACTTACGAGTATATCTTCAAGTGGCATCCACTTAAATATAAAGGCTTCAAGTCCATCATTCTTTATAGCTGAGTAATACTCCATTGCATAAAAGTACCACATCTTCTTCATCCATTCCTCAAGTGATGGGCATCTTGGTTGTTTCCAAGATTTGGCTGTCACAAATGGTGCTGCTATAAACATAGGCACACATATATCACTATGATATGATGTTTTCAGATCCTCTGGGAAAATTTCCAGTGGAGGAATAGCTGGTTTAAAGGGGATTTCCAGTCCAACTTTTCTAAGGAGTCTCCACACTGATTTCCATAACAGTTGCACCAGTCTGCATTCTCACCAGCAGTGGAGAAGGATTCCTTTTTCCCCACAGCCTCTCCAACATGTGGTGTTGGGTGATTTCTTTATGATAGCCATTCTTTCTGGGGTGA